CTAAGCTCACTCTTGCCATCTCCCATACCAAAAATAATTCTCAGGTAATAATACTGCTAACATGCAAATAAATAATTGAGTCTATAATGCAGATATTGTTTAAGATAAATTTAAAATATATAAGTTTTTGCTCTCTAATAATTTAACCTTTGAGACGACATGGTAAAACATGACATAATAGGTTGAGGCAGGGACGGATTCAGGACCAAAATACGAGTCAGGCTAACACGTAAAAATAAAAAAAATTACAGAAGAATTTCTTTTTCTACTAAAAAAAATTGAATAGGCTGAGGGCCCGCCAGATCCGTCCCTGTGCTGAGGTCCTAAGTTCAAGTTTCTCCGCCGCTTATTTATAAAAATTATGCGCTTGTAGGCATTGCTTCTCATTAACTATTTAAGATTTAAGATCAAGTGAGTTGACTAAAAGACAAGGAAATCAATTTGGACCTTTCTTGCAGTTACAAGGGTGGTACAACAAATTACAAAGAGATGAAGTGGTGGCAGAGTGGAAGAATATCAATGGGACGATGTCTTTACATGTTCATTGTCACATAAGTGGCGGCCATTTCCTGCTAGATCTATTTGCTAGCCTCAGATACTACATTTTCTGCAAGGAACTACCTGTGGTAAATTCTCCAAATCAATTTTAATTAGTAGCATTCAAAATCCATCTCACTTCACTTTGAACCATCTTATTTAAAATCTTAGGTAGCCCATAGTTGGCACAATTTTCATAAATGAGCAACGGCTAAACTTGAACTTAAAGACTTTTGAATGATATCACGTTTAAGTTCACCTCATCAAATTGCCAATCACACGATTAGCACAACACATTTTCTCTTTTTAAATACATCAATAAAATTGAAAATATATTGGTATTTATATTTAAGTTCCTTGACAAAACTACTTATTCATTAGGTGTTGAAGGCTTTTATTCATGGAGACAAAAACTTGTTCAGAAATTATCCAGAATTGGAACAAGCTTTTGCTTGGGTATACTTCCACTCCAACACCCCAGAATTCAACAAGGTGGAGTGCTGGGGCCCTCTCATTGAGGCAGCCTCTCCTTCTAGTGGGGCCAGTGCTATCCAATCAGAGGCAGGAAAATGATCTTGCAGGGTCAAGGTTGACTAGTGAGAGCGAGAGAATTATATAATTGGAAAAATAGGTGCTTCTGAGTTCTTATAGATTTTATTCAAATTGCGTACTCTAGTTTTGATCTTGATTAAGGGTCGATGTATGATTTTAGGTGTATTTAATGACGTCGATAGGTGCCCCCCACCAGGCCTCCAGTACCAAACTGTTGTATCTTACAACTTAGTTGAAGTTTTTTTCATATGTTGGGAAACCATTTAGGGGTTATCTAATAAAATTGTACAAAATATTATTAATTTTCCAACCTGCATATTCACCTCTGAATAATATTTGTCTTAACCAAATTGACTCGGACACTGCCATTAAGGGTGGTCCATTCATGCCTGCTTGCTCATTAGTTGTTGTCATTACTCTGTTATTCGCTCAAGTATTTTACTCGTGCAAAATTACTCAGTCCAATTATAATTATTGAAAGAAACAATATAAAAAAAGGTTGAACCCCAACCTTGAGGGTCCCCCACCACCCTGCCCCTAGAGCATTGTGGAGAAGGTAAATCGCGGGGTGTGCCTCAACAGGTCAGAGTACAAAAACTGTCATACTGGTGCCCACAAAGAGTTCAATTTCATACCTTATAAGAGGTAGGAATCGATGTTCACACTACTGCTGTCAGTTCAGTTGAGACTATCTCACACCCGTCCTTGTACCACTAAGCTATACCCCGAAGGGCTTTGAAAGAAACAATATAAGAAGAGACAGAAGTGTCATTTCATGCAGTCAAGGCACGATAAAAATGCACTTCATTTAATGGCCTTTAATTTTACCGATATACACATTCTCGACCATACATTTTAGCCTTTAATTATGATACCTAGAATATAAAAAGGGAAATGATGGTGTTTGTACAACACCATGAATATCTGTACAGCCCCCACATGTGGTGTACATGTAGTGTTTTCCATATAAAAAATCTATAAAAGAAAGTATCTGGTACATGTTTCAATATAGAATCCCTTGGCTTTGGTTCACTGGAAATTTATTTTTTTGTTATAGTTTATATTTTCTATTTTTTTTCTCTAAAATTTTATATCCTATCGAATGATCTTGAGATATGACAGCGGCAAAGAAAGAACATTTTTTGAAAAAAAAAATTTGAAATGAGGAAAAAGAATATAATACTTCCACTTTTATTTAATTATTTTGAAAAACGAGACTTTTATATTGTGTTTTTTCTTTCCTTTTTCTCATTTATCCCTTCATGAAAATTAAACTTCAATTATTTGACATACCTTAAGTTTAATATTTTTTGGGTGTATAGATTAATAATTATAAGTGAAATGCTGCTCTTTGAGCCAGATCTCACGTTACTTCTCCTCATAGTTGAGGCGATATCATTCAATTTGCCTCGTTGAATATTGCCTCATGTCGATGACTCGGCTTTTATGAATAAGCCTCTTCGTTAGTTTCTCTTATGCCTAGAGATAGAGTATTTCAAGACGACATGTGTGACTTGATTTGGTGATCAACGGTCCCTTGAATGAGGCAATTTGTTATTAGTTAGTGGTTTCGAAGACGAGACTCTCCATAATGATGAAAGGCTTTTGTCACACAGGGTATTCCATTAAGGTCAATGGACGTATACTCATAGAACAACATGATACTTTGCTAAGGTGGCAATCCGACATAGCTCCAACTCCAATGGTTCGATCATTTGAGTTTTTGGATATCATTTGAAAATGAGTAGTTATTTTGCCTTGTAGGAAGATTCCATAATTTTGTTATAGAACAAGCTTTGAGGGATGTTTCTGTAATACATGGTGGTTGCGCTCCGCCCCGTTGACACTTGGCAACATTAGATCATGCCGCTGCTATATGTGGGTTGCAAATCATGCCGAGCACGTTAGGAAAACAATGAAGTCCTCCACCTTGAAAAGGAGGTTGGTTGAAACCTTTTTCACATTGAGATGACAAATTGGGAAACTTAATTATTTATGTATTTTACTTTAATTAACTACTAGTAGTAATCAAGAAACTCACAAGCAATTAAAAATGAGCATGCAAATTCGGAGAATTAATCAAATCACAAAAGGACGTCCTAGGCTGCTCTTTATGTCTTAAAATGGAAAAGCTGCTTGTGAAATTAAAAAAAAAAAAAATTGAAAGGCAAAAAGAAAAAATAAAAGGAATAATCTAATAGAATCATTTAAATTTAATAACAATTTTAAATATAGCATGAAGCAAAATGGAAAAGTTGAAAATATATGATTATTTTTGGCTTATAGGGAGATTTCATTATAGAACAAACTTTGAGAAAACATTATTTAATTTTTGTAAGTGAACTATAAATTGATTGCATAAAAGATCCACAACCTTTGCTCGTTATTATATTTATGTTCCTAATTTTTCTCGTGACAGTATTATTTTCAACCTTTCATTAATTATCATTTTTTTTCTTAATGACAAGTTTAAATAACATACTGCCATCGTATTTTTAAATAAGCAAAAAAAAAAAAAAAAATACAAATTGCGAATAAATATTTTTCCTTCATTTTAAAGCACACTAATACAATTTTTGGACTAAAATTATTATTAGAGATAATGTCCTAATTGATGGAAGGTTAAGGATAAAAATGCAATGAAAAGTTAGAAACGTAAGTTTGACAATAAATAAGGTTAATGATTTCCTATGCAATTATTGTTTAATGCATTTACAAAACAATATAGTGTGAATATTACCACCATTTAAAAAGAAGTAAGATGTCTCTTTAGCCCTGTTTGATTCTCATTCTTTTCAAAAAAAAATTTACAAGTTCATTTTTAAACATACATTCACACAATAAAATATTCTGGGATAATAAGTATATAACGTCTTTACCTCTCACTATTATTGTGGAAAACGTTCTTACTTTTCATTTTTTGACATTTTCACTCTTATTACCATATTTCATTGTGCAAAATATTATTTTCATTCATTTTCTCAATTAGAAGTTGTGATATGACGAATATACCATTCTATTTAAATAAAATAAAAAGAAAAAGAAAGAAAAAATTGCAATCATAGTCCCAATGTTCTTCAAAAACTGCAAACGAGTCCCAAATAAATGATTAAAAGGGTAACATAATGTCCACACCTTTTACTATTTTTATGAAAAAATGTCTCTACATTTTATTTTTTAGTATTTTCACCCTTAATCACACATTTGATTGCACAAACCATCATTTCTATCTATTTTCATCCAATTCCTCAATAAAAAATTGTGAAACGATGAAGCAACAAATCATCATTGTTGCTTAAGTGGTTTATTCACTTTAATGTAGTTTCTAGACAATATTATAGGCTTGTGATAATTTAAGTTTGTGATAAAATGCAACCAGATCATTTTTTTGCGGCAACTTTTTCATTCTTGTCTTTAGTTTTGTAATTGTAGCCTAGAGACTTGTTTTTAGTGTTTCTCATTTGATCTACTTTAATTGAATATATCCACGTAATTGTTGGTGATGTTATGATACTTGATGCACATTAATGAAGTCTATAATTGTACCAAAAGAATTACATAAATGAAGCTTATGATTAAGCAATCCTAAAAATAATATGGGATAATAATTAACATATGTTGTAATTTTCCAAAATTACATATACGTCAAAAAGTTAATAAAGTGTAATTGTAGAATTTTTTCTTTAAGCGCTAGTAAAAGTTATAATTTTTCAAAATTTAACAAAAATCAATATTTTCAAATTGTCCCGTATATATTCATATCTGAGTAAATTCTCCGTAAAGTTTAAAAGGCCCACAACTATTAGGAAAATTGACAAAAATAGCTTTAATATGGATCATATAATGGTGGAACAGGGATGACAACTGGTTGGGACGGCCCTCTCTGTCAACTATTTGAAAGACGGGGCAAGTAGGGGATTGAAATATCCAAATTTACTAATTTATTTTTCTATTTTTAAATAAGATAATTAAAATTAAAATTATAAAAATAAATAATAAATAGATTTGTGATGGGTTCAGTGTGGAGATCAAGTTCTCTATCCCCGTCCCATTCCGTGCACGACAATGTAAGGCAGGATGTGATATTTTGTCATCCCTAATTCGAAACACGTATTTTAGACTCAAAAGTAACACTACTAATGCAGGACAAGGCTAGAGTCAAGTTCTAGTATTTATATTTCTTTACTTTAATTATGTTGTCTATTTGATTAGGAGTCTAGTTATTCGTTTGTCAAGAGTTTAAGACTTTGGAGACAGGTTGCAATTTCAAGTAAGTTAGTGATTAGGGGTTAGTAATATGTCGCCATAGACGCTATATTTGTTCTTTGTATTTGTTTAATTGATAATTAATGAAATTTAGAGTTTTCTCTAATTTTGTGATCCAAATTCTCGGAATTGGTGCATGTTTAAAGGAATTTTTATACCTAGTTTTTTGGCGCTGTTATGAATCAATAGAAGCTAAAATATTATCGTATCTCGATACTCATTTGANTTTTTATACCTAGTTTTTTGGCGTTCTTATGAATCAATAGAAGTTAAAATATTATCGTATCTCGATACTCATTTGAAATCAACAGGACTCGATCACTTGGTCATTCATCTTTTATTATTCTAATAACAAAGGGAAGTTAACTTTTTATAATAATATCAACTATTAATAAGAAAAATTAGATTTGGACTCTCAACATTTCAATTATTGTGATTTGAGTTTTTAACCTTCAAAAGTAATGTTGTAAAACCCCAACTACTTAAATATGTGAATTTGGACAAAAAACCACGTCACTTTCAAGCCATGTTCTAAAATACGTACAAATGCGCCGCTTAAGCGCGGCTCGTGGAGAAAACGCGTCGAATTCGGGGTATGCGCGAAAAATGCGTTTTTGTTCTAAAAGGCGGCGCATTGCCCCGCCTAGGCGGTGCATTATGACACCTAATTTTTTTTTAAATCTATTTTTTTATATGAAAATATATTTAATGCCTTAAAAATACGAAACACATTATGGCGCTTATTCTTCGCATTGACACGCCTAAACTTATAATTCTTGATTCTCGGCCTCGACGCATCGCAACGCATTTTAGAACATTGTTTTCAAGTGAATACAGTTATACGTTAAGTGGCGGTTTGTACAAAAAAATATTTATTACATTTTTAATGTTTTTCCTTTTATTTTATCTATCTAGACATAATTATGTTTTTGGTTTATATTTTATGGTGATTTTATGAGTGTTTTAGAAGCAAAGAGGCCATCATTTTGTCTCACTTTAATCAAGAGTGTACTTTTCTAATCATGCTGTCAAAAAAAAAAAAAACAAAAAAGGTATGTTTGATTGCAAGAGTGAAATTTGGGTGAAAAGAAAATGGATTCTAAGGAATTGAATTGCTTAGAATTGTTTGCCTGAAAATTGTCAATTAATTGTGTTTGATTAGTATAATTTTCCATGTGGAAAATATTGAAATTTTGAATTTTTTGGTTTTCATTTGATTTTGTTTTATATGAAAATTGTCCATTATAGAGATATAATTGTTACAATTGAGGATAGAATTTGTTTCGAAAAACCATTTTCCCACCAAAGTGGTTGGAAAACCAATTCAATGAAAACCAAGAAAATGCGGGTCACTGAGGGGTTAGGGGGAAAATCAATTCCAAGGAAAATTTGCCTATCAAATAATATAAAAGATGGATAATGGAAAATGATTTCCAAGTTCCATGGAAAATTGGGGATATCAAACCGGGCCTAATATAAGTTAATTACTGTTATTTTCAAATTATTTTTAAAAACTTGTGTTATTTGAGGATGCAGAATTTAAATTAAATTTCTCTTACGTACGAAAGAAAAGCAAGTTAAAATTTTGTTCATTTTTCATAAAACGAAAATATTGAGCGTGTAAATTGAGTTACATTATAAGTAACTTGTAATTTTTAGTCAAACTTTAATTTTATCTGTATATTCACAATTAATACCCTTTTATTATCCATAAAGTACAAGGAGATTATAATGAAATAAAACACACTTGCATATCTCAAGTTATTTACAGTAACGAGGGTTGTAAGAATTTTTTTTAATACCGTCATATCTAATTAAAACCGATCAAGATCGATGATTTATCGCTTTGAATGGTTGGATTCAGGTTTGAAAATTAGCAAACCACAAAAATCAATTTGGTTTTAGTTAGCTTAAGATGGAAAAGAGAAAAAGTCAAACTACTCGAAACCATTATTTGACATTTAGAATTTTTACTTCAATTTTTGGAAATTTCTATTAAGCCTAATTGAAATATTGATCTAATGAATAACTACAGCTTTGATCTAATGTCCACGGGCATTAACCCATGCCCACCGTGGACGTGTCAACGTGCATCCGGTGTAGCCATGTGGTAACACCGGATGTTGTCACGCCTGATAGGCATTATAACCCATGTTTATTGTGGGCATTAGATTATTTTCGTTAATAATAAATACTATATAAATAAGGATGAGCAAAACAAGAAAGTACGAACTTATAAATAATTAACTAAGTCTTATTCTATTCATTTTTAAGCCCCTGTTCGGTGGGGATTGAAATCAGATTTTTAGTAGTTTTGATAGAAGTTGATGAAATGTGTGATTGAAAAGTCGTGGGATTATTAAAATTAATTGTTGACTTTGATTTAGATTAAAATCTAGATTTTAAGTCGTATCAAACACGATTTTGGCATAAATTTTTCCAAAAGAAAAATAATATTTTTGAAGAATGTGCTGTTAAAAAGTGACGATGAGATAGACCTCTCCAGGAAAAATAGAAAATACTCAATCTCAACCTGTCTTAAAGGTACAACAAAAAATGGTCAGATCAGCAAAACTGTGCAATTAATTTGAATCAAGTTTGCATTCTAAGAAGTCACTTAAGAGATCTCAAACCTATACTTGGGACTAATCAATAATACACAAAGAATGATAAATATTAAATAAACAAGAAAACTGATAATTCAAGAAGGAAGAGATTTATGTATACTCATCATCATGCTCAATTCTAGGCATGGTCCGAGTAATAGATGCAGTATGAGTACTTACATGCCCAACCATTGAAACTTGTAGAGCTTCCTCTTCATACGCCCTCCGTTCAAGTTCGTCCATTCTTGCCTTCTTCTTCGCATTAACAAACATCGCGATGAGCAACAAACTCAGAAGAAACGCGCCTAATGCAGCCCCAATCGTGCTTCCAATCATTATCTTCCACTTGCTTAAAGTCTTCTTTTTCAATGGTATTAATGGTGATTCGACGACCAATCCAAAATGACCATGCCTTGTTGCAACACAAGTATTAGACGACGCTTGATTAGTCAGCGTCACTTTTCCATCGTGATCAAAACTTACACACAAAGGTATGACCCCTGATGTGATATTGAGCCTTGTCATATTGCTGAAATCTATAGTGATCGGTTGTTTCGCGGCCTGAATCCCGAGCTCAGATGGAGTACTAAATTTTATGCTGTCACCAATGTTATATGCTAGTAGGCCTAAAACAGGCGAAATAAGTCGATAACCTGATAACTCATAATTATCGTAGTATATAGATGACCAGTTTGATCCAAGATTTTGTCTAACTATCAAAACTCTTTCAATGCAAGGATGCACGGTTACACCTATTCCCAGATGTAATTCCTTGATTTTGGCACCATACCTTTGCAGACTACCACAACGAAATCGCACTGCATCAACTGTAATGCCCGAGAGATTTGCTGGTAACTTGATCTGGTGTAGTTTACCTGTCCTAAAGTATTTGTTGTATGATTTGAAAGTGTAATCTCTGATGACAAGATCGAGAAGGCGGGCTGATTTTATTTCTTGAGTTTGAGTTTGAAGGGCTGATAAAGATGCAAATGAAAGAAAAACCAAAGCAAAAGAGAAGAGGAAGCCCATTTCTTGTCCTATTTCCAGGCTCAAACATGAAAACAGTAGAAGTTTGATTTCAGGGGAGGTTTTAGATTTATCTGAGGGGACTTCTCGAGTAAAAAGGTGGACTAAAAAGAGGAATTTTTACGTTTCGGATCTATTTATTGTTGTAATGAAATGATATGTTTGGTGGGAGTGAAAATTTTGGGTCGAAGAGTGGCTTTAGGCTCTAGGGAAGTGAGAAAAAAGTTAATAAAATTTTGCACTTTTTTTCCTATGATTTGTATTCTGATGTGTGTATTTTTTTAGGGAAAATTGCAGCCGAGGTATCAAATCTTTCATTTATTTGCAGACTCTGCCCAAATATTTAATTTGTACCACTCATGGTACCAAACCTTTAAAAAATTCGTACCTCCAGTCCTCATTGACGGTTTCCGTCCGTTTGACCACGAAAATCGTTAGTTGATATCAGAAATAAAAAACTAGGAGGGGTAAAATGGTAACTTGACAATTTTCTCATTAAATACATTAAAAATAATAAAAAAAAAACAAAAATTTGCAATCAGTATCTCCTTCCCGACATCAATAGTGCTGGCACGTTGCCTGCACCACCACCATCGGTGCCGCCGCCTCCTCCCACCACCACCACCGTAAATCACAAATGAAGAAAATCACGTTCGACACCCAAAAATGGAACTATTTATGGCCACCATCAACACGTTGCGATGGCTGCCACCCATCACCCACCAAATCCCCATCATCCTATCCCAAACCAGGAAATCATCTACCACCATCATCACCGATCTCCTCATCACCACTATCACCAATGCAGGTAACTACCCATTTTCAAACTTCAATCTCAATTCAAAAAATTAGAAAAAAAATCAGAAGATAATGGAAAATTGAATCCCATTGGAGTCAGGCGAACCTCGAGCAAACTTGTACGACCATGGGTAACCATTTAATTGCTCCAATTGAGGTTGGGGTAGTTCGACAGGTATTGATGGCTCCAATTGAGGTTGGGGTAGTCAGGCGGGTCTTTGTGGCTGCAATTTACAATGTTTGGGTTCTGAGGAATTCTACTAATGATGGTGGCGGTGGTGGCCAGACTTTGAGGCAGCGATGCCGAGGATGGCGGTGGTAGCCTACGGTGGGTGGGAATGGGGATGAGTGGAGTGGGATGAAGAATGGTTTTTGTATATTTATTTTTATTTTTTTGGTTTTTTAATTTAATTTACGACAGCGGTGCGGTGGCGGCGGGAAAAGGCAGCAGTGACGGTGGTGGTGTCGACAATGTGCCGGTGGGGGTACCGATAACGTGCCGGCACTGTTGATGCCAGGAAGGAGAAAATAATTGCAAATTTTTTGTTTTTTTTATAATTTATTTAATGAGAAAATTGTCAATTTACCATTTACCCCTCCTAATTTTTGATTTGTGAGGTCAACTAATGATTTTCGTGGTAAAACTGACGGAAACCGTCAATGAGGACTGAATATGCTATTTTTCTAAAGATTTGGTATCGTGAGTTGTACAAATTAAAGGTTTGGGCCAAGTCTGCAAATAGCTGAAATGTTTGGTACCTCGGCTGCAATTTTCCCTATTTTTTATGTATGCCTTGATTGAAAATGTTATGACCAATGTATTGAAATATACATGTTAATACCAAAAAAAAATTTCAATACCAAAAAAAATTTCACTATAATCAAGCCCAGAGTGGACCGCCAAGTTGGTGATGGTCCAAATCGGGGGAATCTACCTCTACAAAAACTCGAATTGATCAAAACAATGAATGAAAATTTAGGTATTTAAAAATCAATGTCGCAAGAAGAAATGTCAACATGGGGAATGGTTCAATATGACACGAGAAAGGTGATCCAACTTCAAGCTCGACAAGAACTTAGATACTAAATACTAAATTCTACTTACTTGATCAACAATCAAGGGCAAAACATAGCATTCATCATACTGACGAACAATTGTTTTCAAATTCGCACAGCTTGACAAATGCTAGCATGAATTGGCCTAACCGGCCGATTAATACCGTTGCCTACTCAAGGTTAAACATTTATTTTATTTGACCTAACACATTTATTTTATTTGCATGCTTGCCTTCAAATGAATTTACATGAACTTTAAGGGGGTTAGGATTAGATGATAGAAGGTAGGAGAAATGATTTTGGAGCGTGGAGTGATGATGAAATTGAATTCAAAAGGAATGAAATTGGGATGGCGTGCTTGAGTAAAATGGAATGAAGGCAAAGAGGCATGTCCCCCACTTCAATAATCTTGTGGGCTAGCATGCATAACAATTAATTCTTTACTATTTAGGGGCC